TATTTTTTGCCGTTAAGAGAACCGCGGGGTTGTTGCCATGTTGCTTGGGCGGTCGGGTTTGGAACTCCTGGCTCAAGGCTTGATCCACCCGCCTCAGCCCTCCCAAAGCGCCGCTGCTGGCATTACAGGTGGTGAGCAAAGCTGCCACCCACCCAACGCTATTTTTGAAAATATTTTTCTTAGGGGGAGGGTTCTTGTGGTAGGAAGAGTGGATGGAAGAGCAAGGAATTTGACAATGGGGGCCAACTAGAATGGAAGAAATGCCCACGGGGAGCGTATACAGCAGTTCAGTAGCCGGGCTGTCGTTGATAAACAAAACTATCTACTATATGTCATGTTTTACAGTGGACATCACATACATGACACTATCACTGGCTAATGCCATACGACAGTATGTCACATGTGTCGCTATAGACATATATTCAGTACATATCACGCTATACAATATTACATCACTATAGATCATGTTTTACAACATACCTCACGTATTTAAAGGTGGCACAATGCCTAAGCAGAAGAAACTTCAATATAAATAAATAAAAACCTATTAGTACTGGGGGTTTTTGTTGGGGGCTCGTCTTGGAGACAGATTTTCTCACTCTTTTTGCTCAGGCTGGGAGGGCAGTTGGTGCCGGATTTGGCTCACTGCAACTCCCACCTTCCGGCGGTTTCAAAGCGTTCTCCTGCCTCAGCCTCCCAAGTAGGCTGCGGGACTACAGGCACCTGCCACCACGGCCCCAGCTAACATTTTGTATCTTTTAGCTAGAGACAGGGAGTTTCTCCTCGGGTTGCCCTGGGGCTGGGTCTCAAACTCCCGAGCCCTTAAGGGCAATGTGCCCTCCTCCACCTCCCAACATGCCTATATTACAGGGTGCTGGGCCACCGCCGCCTGGCCCATTACTGGGGACTTTTAAAGCTCCTAAAATGATTTTAAGAAATACATAAAGTAAAAAAGGCACGGGTGTAGGGCCGGGGGTGACGCGAGTGGGTTCATGCCTTTAATCCCAGCACCTTTTGACAAGGCCCGGTGAGCTCAGGAGTTAAGAGCAGCCGTGGCAACGTGGAGAAACCCCATCTCTACAAAACGATAAGAATAGGTTAGGCTGGGCATTTGGTGGCACCTGCCCTGTTAGTTCCCAGCCTTCTCAGGAGGCTAGAGGGGTCAAGAGGATCGTTTAAGCGCTGGTTAGGCAGAGGGTTGCAGTGAGCAGAGACTGCACCACTGCATCGAGGCCTGGGTGACAGAGTGAGAGACCCTGTCCCCTCCAAAAAAAAGCATAATGTGAATACCATGTGCTTACCATTGCTGGAAAAAAAGAAAAGAAAAATACAATGTTGTTACATGTTCATAAAATGTCTTCTGAGAGAGACACAAGGAACCAGAACATGTGGTTGCCTCTGGAGAACGGAGCATAGGATGCTGGAGCAGTGGCGTAAGAGGGACTTTTCCTGGTTCCTTTGAATGTGGTAGCCCTGAGAACATAATTACCTAGATATTTTTAATTTTTATTTCATTTATTTATTTAGAGACAGGGTCAATTTCTCTGTCACACAAGTTGGAATGCAGTGGCACGGATCACAACTCATGTAGTGTCAATCCAAGGGCTCAAGCCACCTCCACCTCAGCCACTGAAGTAAGGCTGGGGCTACAGGAAGGCACCACCATGCCCAGCTTAAATTTTTAATTTCTTGTAGATGATGGGTCTTGTTATGTTGCCCAGGCTTGGTCTTGAACTCTAGGCTCTAAGCGAGGAGGCCTGAACTCCACTCAGCTTCCCAACTGAGATACAGGGTGTGAGCCACCATGTCCAGTCAATTAATACCTACAATTTTGCTTTTCTTTTTTTTTTTTTTTTGAGATGGAGTCTCGCTCTGTCGCCCAGGGTGGAGTGCAGTGGTGCAATCGCGGCTCACTGTCTAGGTGCCGGGGTTCAAGCTCCCGCCTCCACGGGGTGATGGGCAGTGGCTCGGGGGAGAGCTGACGGTGGAGATAGGGGCCGGGGTGTGATGGGCAGTGGCTTGGGGGAGAGCTGACGGTGGAGACGGGGACCAGGGTGTGATGAGCAGTGGCTCGGGGGAGAGCTGATGGTGGTGATGGGGACCAGGGTGGTAGAGGTGGAGGAAGTGAGTGTGTTTCCATTCCACACCCCCTCACAGAGCAGAACTGACAGAACATGGCCAAGGATGCGGTGCGGGGCTGAAGGGGCATTGGGCTGGCTTCTCGGGTCTGGCCTGTCCACAGGGTGGACAGCAGCTTCCTGACTGAGATGGGGGATGCTGGGGGATCGGTGTGTTCAGGGGTAAAATCAAGAGATCTCTGGTCGTGTTGTCTGAAGGACACCCAGACATCTCCGTGGGAAGGTTGAGTGGCGGTGTAATCTCAGATTGTGGAGTTCAGGGGAGGGGTCACTCTGGGGACAGCATGGGGACTCGACATCAACGCACCTGGGGGCGCTAAAAAGCCCGGGCGCACTCTCCTGCAGTGAGTGGGCAGACAAGGAGAGAGGAGGCCATGAAGCAGCCTGGGGGCACCCCCACATCTGGGGTCTGACACTCGGCACAGATGTGACTAGCATGTTAGCCCTGGGAGGGGAGCCTTTCCCAGAGGGAGGGAAGCATCAGGTCAGATGCAGGTGACAGGTCCAGCAGGGTGAGGCCGGAGAGCTGACCTCCCCATGTGGCCAGGTGATGTTGCTGGGACCTGGATGGGCTGTTACCATGGGGTGGTGGTGGCCTGCAGAGAGGAGGGATGTCATGCCAGTGGAGATGGGGAGTGGGGCAGCTGGGAGCAGGCATGAGAGCCAGAGGGGCTTCCTTCCAAGACAGCCATCAGTACTACATGAGTGTGCCAGGAATGATATTTGGGGCAGGGGGTGTGTCTGCAGGAGACAAGCCCTGGGCCACGAGAGGGAGGGGACTGGTACCACAGGAGGGCTGGCCTTAGCCAGGTGGGAAAGTGGCCAGTGGTGACTTGCTGTGGGCAGAGGCAGCTAGGGCAGGGCTCATCCACGGCAGCTGACACGATTAGCAATCTTGCCTGCAGGGCCTACGCTGGCTGAGCTGGGCAAGGGTATAGAAGGGAAGGAATGGCGTGCTGGGCAGACCTCTCGGCCACCTGAGATGTGTAGCCACCAACTTAAGTGATGGCAGCCAGCTGACACATGCATTTTTCCTCAGTCACGCTGAGGCCCCCGGGGAAACCAGGAGGTCTCCACCCCTCAGGAGGCCTGGCCAGGACCCAGCCTTTGGTTTCCCTTAGCATGAAGCCCTCCATCCGGACGGCATCGAACCTCTTGTCTGGGTTTTGTTGATAAGGTTATTATCGGCAAAGCCCAGAACAGAGTATTCTCTATTCCTAGAACTGCCAATATTTTGAGGGTGGGACTTCTGTCTACCCTGTGTGTTTCTGTCTGACACCACAAAGGCAGGAGCAGGCTGGGGAAGTGGTCAGAACACTTGGCGAACTGCACACTGTTCTAGAAGAGGACAAGAAAATAGGGTCCTTACCGTCAGCAGGGTGGAGGAGCACCTGACGTCCTTCGGATCTGAAAGAGTAAACATGAGTCCAGGCTGAGCAGGTCCACCACCATGGCAATGCCAAGTAAGCTACGGGACCCCAGGGCAGGGCAACACGGGAGCACCGGTGGTGAAACTGGACCGTATGTGGGATTCACGTGAAATGAGTGGATTTGAGCTGCTCGTGCCACAAAAACAAAAGCGGGCAGCTGTGAGTTGCGATGGCTATGTTAACTTGCTTCGCTTTACTAGTAACCTTTTTACTATCTCTATGTATCTGTAACACCATGTTATATACCTTAAATATACACAATAAAATTTAATAAAACACAAGATGCCATCTGATACCTTTACTAAATTGGCATTCATTTCAGAAAAAAGCCATTGCCATAGCATGGCAGGTGAGGGCAAGGGCACAGCTTGGCTGGCCCACCAGCGACCCCACACATGCCCTGCCTGTCCCCAGTCACCCGGCCTGGCAGCCCACTTGTGTGCAAGGTGGGTACGGCAGACCACCGCCAGCCAATGCCAACACTGTGAACATGAACACTACTTTAAATATGGAAAATACTTCCCAGCGTGGCCAATAATCACAAGCAGAGCATGCAGACGCCGTGTGGACAAGCCCATGATTCACATTCAGAGGATAAGCCCCAGAAGGAAAGCAAAACCAGGAAAAGCACAGCAGGGGAGCAAGGCTGGAAGAATGTCTGTAATGAGGTACTTCATGTTATAAAATTCATTAGAAATAAAAATGAGTGGAGATAAAACATCTATCTTGATATGGAACAAACATCTTTATGTCAACACCAGGAAGGGAGGAAACTTGAAAAGGAGCAGAACCAGAAGTGAGGCTTCAGCTTGTCTTTCACAGACGCCAGCGACCTGCCCTGAGCAAGGTGGGAACCCAGAGTCAGACCCCAGGGCTCTAGGTGCCGCGGGAAACCAGCGCTACTGCTTCTCGCTCCATCTCTGCAGCCCCCCTGACTACCCAGCACCTTTATCACCTTGGATGAAACTGGTTACTGGCTTGCAACCCAAACTGAGCTCCAGGGCTGCAGGCTTCCCACGGCCAAGTCCATTCCCACACAACACAGGGGGAACGTCATGGAGAGGCATGCAGCCGCCGAGCACACTCCTGCTGGCCTCGAGGCCCCGCCCATGCCATAGGGCCAGGTGGGTCTGCACTCAGAGGTCCGCGGCTGGCTGCGGGGTATGCTGCCCTCCTGTCCTGGGCACAGCCCACAGGGCGAGGCCACTGACCAAGGACACGTGGTCGGCATGCTGGGCAGTCCCAATGGTCCACCTGTGATGTGCGGTCACCAATTTAAAGGACATCAGCCAACTCACCCCATTTGTATCCACTCACAGCGTGATGCCCCCAGGGGCAAGCCAGGGGGTCCCCCTGATATGGCTCTTCCAGGACTTTCACCTTGAGAGACTTGAGCACACATGTCCCTTGGCTGGGACACATCTGAGAACAGCTTCATAAAGGAGACTTAGAGAGGCCTGAGAAGGGAGCAGGGGACGCCCTGTCCTTTGGGGCTCACCCTGGGCAGGAGACAGGAGTGAAGGCGTAGCAGAGAAAGCCATATCCTCTGTTGATCGCAAGAATGGCGCGTCTGATGCCTTTAGTACCTACCCAGGGTCGGTGATTCGGGATCAGGAGGGGCAGAAACAAACCAAGGGGTGCTTGATGTTTTCTCCTTATCTGCAAAGAGCTCCCGTTCTCAGACTCAGCATCCAGCCACTGTTGTCACAGCTGGGTCTCATCATTCAGACACAGTGCACCTCCCAGGCACGAGGGGAAAGAGTGTCAGACAGATTCCCTGGGCACGAGGTTCTGGTAGCTTGGTTTTGTTTGGCTAGAGATGAAGCATGCAGCCCTCCTGTAGGTGAGCGGGCCTGTGGCCAGAGAGGACCCAGCGACAGGGGGCATCTGGCTCATTGCTATCTGCCCAAGTTGGATCAGGGAGGCTTATTCACAAGAGCCGAGCTCTCTCCGCTTACAGAGACAAGCATCAACACAGCACCCCGAATGCCTGGAGCGGGCGCTGAGGTCCCGGCCATTGAGCAAGCTCCTTTCCCTTCCACACGTCCTCTTCTCTCCAGAGCCAGCCCCTTTCCAGTTGAGGAAGAGAATAGAAGGCTCCGTGGACTCTACCCTCAGGCAGGAGACAGCCAGGGGCCCCTGTGCGCTAACAGAGAGGCACATTATTCTCTGAGTGGCTGGTGTCTCAAACACCTGGACAGCAGGGGCACAGAACTCCAGGTTCTAGGAATCAGAGCGGAAAACCAGTGGCGGAAACGGCCTTTCTCAGAACTGCAGTGACACACCAGCCAGAGCTGAAAGCCACAAGTTGGCCCACTGGTGAGGGAGCCAGAGCCCCACCCATCCCACAAGGTCCCTGCTCAGGCCGTCCAGGGTGTGGCCAAAGGCTTACTCAGCCTCTGCAGAAGCGGGGAAAGGGGAGCTGAGTGCAGCCCGGGGCCCCCACTTTCTGCTCACAGCAATGGCTGTGTGTCTGAACATTCCTCATCTGAATGTTTATTTCCATTTTCACCAACAGAGAAGCGTGAGGTGAGAGTCTCCGAACTCGCAGAGCGGCCGGATGATGGTTATCTTAAAAATTAAAAGGTTAGCTTTTGCAAGACACAAAAAGTGAGCAACTAAATGGAATATGGATTAACTTCTGCATGCAGAGTTGAAGTGATACGCAATGCCCAGCATGGCTGCAGGGAGCTGACTCTGAGTGTCCCTACCGGACAGGCAGCAGGAGGGAGCTGTCTCCTGCCGTATGGTTTCACGGTGCTTTAAACTCAATCGAAGAACTAAGGGTTGAGTACAGCTTATCAGAGCGGCTGGCAGGAGTCGAGCCCCTGTCATGTGACCGCTGGGGCCACCCGGGGGTCTCTATTCTTGTTGTAACTGTCCCGAGTCTTCTCAGCACCAGAGCCTGGCGGATCTCTACTTCAAAAATGAATTTCAAATTCAGTTAAATCAAAAGTTTGCTACTGAATCTGAAATGGAATAAGGGATTTGATTTTCCAAGAGATACCTTTTACCCAGTTAAGATATTAAGTCTTTTATAACACTGTCCAAGATATATCTTATCAGAAGGCAAAGAGCTGACCGGGTCCAATTCAGGTTTCGGTGGCAAGATGGGCGTGAGAGGGAACAGCCTGTGGGGAAATGGAAGACTCCCAGGCACGAACGCCTGATGCTGAGGCAAGGGAGGGCAGAAGGATGGGAGGAAGGAATGTAGACATGGGTCACTCCAGAAATCGGGGGAGAGTAGAAAATCCAGCAAGACCAGGAGAGAACCGGCTCCCCAAGGAAGTCTCCCTGACAAGAAGAGCGCTGAGGTAGCCACAGGCAAACAGGGCGCTAGGCCACGCAGCTCTCACACTCGTCCCTGAGGCCCGCCCGAGCAGGGAAACACGAGGCCTCCCTTGGTGGGTGGTCTCCAAGGCCACGTGCACTTACGTTCAATGAGGAAGAGAAAGCACACTATCCCCATGGCTGCCACGATGGCCCCAGGCACAACGAAGGACAGGCCCCAGCACGTGGACACCCAGTAGCCAGCGATCAACGACCCCAAGATGTTGCCTACGGAGGTGTGGGAGTTCCAGACCCCCATAATCAAACCTCTCCTGCAACACAACAAAACAGAAGACAGAAGATGGAGCTGAGAAGCTGAAATGAGTCCAGCAGTGCAGGGCGCAGCAGTGCCTGTAAAGCAGGCAGTCAGTGCAGCATCAATGAGGACCGTGCAGACTCTGCTTCCGTGGCATGCAGGACTCGCGATGCTCACGAGAGCTGATCTGTGTATGTGGCCTCAGGCTGTGCCATCACCCATTCCACCTCTTGCTCTGAACGCTTTGTGTACTCAAGAAGAAAGAGGCCTTTCCCTGAAAGTCTTGGAAGGCCTGAAATTAAAATTTGTGCCTCTACCATCAATTAATACATAGTCACTTGATGAACTGTCATTTGAACAAAACTCACGGAGGTACACACCAGGTGAATGAGGCACAGTATCTAAGACTTAAGACCTGATGACGCCGGTGTTCCCATTTTAGCTTCTGCGTCTTGTTTGGTATCTTCCACCACAAATAAGCCTTTGGCCTGGCTGAGCTGAAGTTTACACAGCCATTTACAAATAAATCTGGACTCGCCAGAGGCTGGGTCCCAGCTCTGCTACTTTGGTGCTGTGTGCTGGGTGACGCAGGTTGGGAATTCCCAAACTCCCATGTTAACATGTAGCTTCGGCTTCAAAAGGCCTGGGGCAGGGTCCTGGACTCTGCATCTCCCACAACACCCGGGAGGCCAGATGCAGCTGTCAGAGGAGCCGTCGAGTGACACAGACTCCACCGGGCCCACAGTGGGAGGGAGGAGCTCCCGTCTCGTGGGACACAGGCCATCTGAATTTCAGCAATTCAAGCCCCAGAGGTTTCAGCCATCTTATTTTAAAGAGGATACTAAAGTGTTTTTGCTGTAATCAGTCTACAAAAAAACTCAAAGTAAAATGGTCTAGTTTTCATCTGCTATTGGAAACAGGGCTGCTTTCCTCACCTTCCTTTTCCAAACCAGTTGCCGAGGCAGGTGACGACGCTGGGCCAGCCGGTGGTCTGCACCAGCCCGTTGATGACCTGCGGGAGAAGCCAAAGGAGAGACTGACCCACGGGAAGCAGGCCTGGGAGAGCGCCGCAGGGAGGCACACAGGGCTTGCCCCGCTCACACAAAGAAGGGGGTATGACAGCCAGAGATGGATTGTCAATTGTATATTTATATACAGTTTAAACTATGTATGTATTTTTAAACCATGTACACAGGTATCCATATATTTTTCAAAATAAAAGTAATGCATGTCTGTTGTGGAAATTTTAGAATAAGTAGAGAAAAGCAAGGAAAGAAAACCCAGGCAGAACCCCACCACCAGGAGATCACACCTCATAACAGTGTGGGGCCAAGCTTTACAGTCTCTTTTGAATCTAAAAACTTCATAGAAAGAGGCTAGGTGCAGTGGCTCATGCCTGTAATCCTAGCACTTTGGGAGGTCGAGGCGAGAGGATCTCTTGAGTTCAGGAATTTGAGACCGGCCTGGGCAATATAGAGACCCCCTTGTCTACAAAAAATTAAAAATTAGCCAGGTGGGGTGGTGCACATCTGTGGTCCAAACTACTCAAGAAGCTGAGGTGGGAGGATTGCTTGAGCCTGGGACCACTGCACTCCAGCCTGGGCAACACAGTAAGGCCCCATCTCAAAAAATAAATAAATGCAAACTTTTTAAAGAGAGAAAAGCTTTCTTCTCTTTATAGAACTGTTCATAGAATTGTACGATAAACATGGCTTGTGAATTGCATGTTTTCCCTCACCAGGCCATGGAGAAGGTACTGTTGTTCATCATTCTCTGGAATGAACACAGCCTTGACTTCACGCCTGGACAAAGTATCTCCTTCTAAAGAATCCCTGACTTGAGTTTCATGAAGGGACTCGGGGAATGTATTGCTGAGGACGCTCTAGCATCCTGAGACTCGGGGGTGGCTCTACAAGACTGCAGGAAACCAGGGCCAGCCTGGCACCGCCAACCACCTCACTGCAGTAAGCCAGCTCTCTAGAGCAGGGTCCCCAACCCCGGGCACAGACTAGTCCTGATCCGTGGCTTGTTAGGAGCCAGGCCACACTGCAGGAGGTGAGTGGTGGGAGAGCGAGCATTGCCACCTGAGCTCCACCTCCCATCAGATCAGTGGGGGCCATTAGATTCTTATAGGAGCGTGACCCTGGTGTGAACTGCACATGCCAGGGATCTAGGTTATGTGCTCCTTATGAGAATCGAATGCCTGATGACCTGAGAGGGAACAGTTTCATCCCCAAACCATCCTCCTCTCCCCAACCTTGGTCCCGGGTGGAAAGATTGTCTTAAACAAAACTGGTCCCTGATGCCAAAAAGGTTGGGAACTATTGCTCTAGAAGACGCCTGGGAGCCGCTGGTCTACCTGTTGCTGCCTCTGGGCTGACCTGGCTGGGCCTTCACTCCACATGCTGGGACTCTGGAAAATTGTTTTCTCCTCCCTTCTAATTTTCTATATCACTACACAAGTGTGAACTGCTTTTGTAATTAAAATAGCCAAACTTTTCAAGTGTTATGGCAAAATCTTCAAAGCAAAATTAAATACAGTTTGCCTTGATGGTTTTAAGCATTCCCCTGAGCTATCTGGGAGCCCTGGAAGCATCACAAAGCCTGAGATGAGCATCGTTATTTCCCACTGTTTTCCTCGGCTGCTGAATACTGATCCACAGCACTGCTGGGAAGGGCAGAAGCCAGGAGACACCGGAAGGGCTCCAGCTCCAAGGGCAAGCCAGTATGGGCTGCCCTCAGGCCTCCTCCCCTTCTAGCACCTTCATGATCTCTCCTGTTCTCTCCACTGACTGCCTCATACCCCCTCCTGCTGCCTGACTCCAAAGTCGGCCCTTCCTTCCACCCTTGCATCCCTCTGTAGAGTCCTCAGGTCTCCCCCTTTTTCTCTCACTGCGACCCGACCAGCTGCAGGTTTTCCTTTGTAGGCTGGGACCCAAGTTGGCCCCTGAACACTCCTAGGCACTGACAAAGGTGTTTCAGTTGCTGACCCAAAACATGGAAATTCCTTACACCCTCATACAAACTCCGTACACCAATCCCTCGCTGCAGACAGACCTGCGTGGGACGCCCTGTCCCGCTGCGTGTCAAGACTATATACTACAGCCCTCGGTGCGTAAGTTCCCCTAATACACGCTTTAAACTGATCACCCAGCAGTTAGTGCTGTGTTCTTTGGAATCCCAACCAGCCCCATCTTGGGATGGTTTGGGGCACTCCCTGGTGGGAACTCCCTGCCACTGCTGTTAGGCTGACTCCAGCTAGGGCTTCAGCTGGAGGACACACCCTCCAACCCCAGTGGTCAAATCTTTAGCAAGATGAAACATCTCAAACTTATCCACATGAAGACAGGGGGACTCCTAAGGGCTCTGCACGTCAGTCTCCCTGCCAGGGCACCGACAGGCGCGTTCTTTATGAGGCAACTCCTGAAACGAAGAAACACCTCCGGGCTGCCGGAATTTCCGAGCAGAAGAGAAAGGAAGGACTTATTATGTCAGCTGACCCTGACTTCGGACAGGACGTACTTCTGCCCCTTCCCAACATCTTGACAGAGGTGACATGTGACATAAACACCCCACCCTATTCACCAAGGAAACCCCATATGTGGTGAGCCATGGACCCAAACCCTTACCTGAGTTACCACGTAGAATCCGAAACTGTGGATGTTGTAGAAATACCCTAAGCCGAACAGGGCGGTGAAGGCTCCACTGGCGAGCATCCCAAAAGTTAGGTAATACCTAATCGGCAGGCGTTCCCCAATTATGCCACTGAGGCGGAGAGAAGGAAAGACAAATAGGAATAACAAACACACCCGAATGTTAACAACCCGGCGGCTGTTTCGGGCCGGATGCTTTCGTGCTGTTCTCTGAGCTTGGGGAACTCTCAAGCCTTACAATTTCCAGGAAGACTTCTTACACCTATTTCCCTATGGAGTGTTTACTCACCAGAAACCAGAGACTGGCAACATCTTAGAAGATTTTATTTCTAGTCAATGTCACTATCTGTCAAATGATAAAATTCAAACGCTATGACTTATTTATGATAGTTGCCAATGAAAGGAAACAGGAACTTGTCTTGCTAGTTAATCCTGCTTTCACATAAACCATATCCAGTAAATGTATACAATGTCTTAAAATTCCAACTGTTGAACTACACCAAATGTCATGAAAAGAGGTCACTTATGACCCAGAGCAAGTCACTCGGCCCCACGAGCTGTAATGAAGTCACCTGTGTTAATACACCTGGCTGGCTGGGCTCAGTGGGGAAGTGGCTTGCAGCTGTTTGCCACTACCACCTCCTGCCACGCCACTCTGACCTGATTTAAAGGCAGAAGATTTGTTCCATGGTAAGGTCTGAAATGCTGGGGTGGCATCTCTCTCATCCTTCTGAACAGCAATGCAACTCACTAATCAGCTACCCTTTTTGGTGTTTTATCTTCTAGAGCTGTCTGGAGACTTGGTGGCATAAAGGATGCTTAGCCTCACTAAAACAGCCTCGACGGGGGTGGTAAAGCACGTCTCCAGCTTCACAGCAGGGCACAGACTTAACAGTCTTTAGCTGCCATCACAGCACACCACCTAATGTTATCCAAAACATCCCTCACTGTTTTACGGGAAATGTCACTATGGACCAACTTAACATTGTGACTTATTAACTAAATAGAAAAGCTGTAGAGTGTCATGGATGGACGCGAGCCCTTCGCAAGCACCAGAGACTCTATGGGTCTCGCTTTCTTCTGGAGGGTCACTCTAGGGGTCAGATAAACAGGAAACCTAACACACAGTGACACCTGCCTGCCGTGAACCCCACTGCCGGAGTCAGCTCCAACGTTCTCAGCTTTCATCTCAAGAACCCACACCAGAGAGCTTTTCCTTCCGAATCCACCAAGTAAAAAAGATCTACCTCGGATCAAGGAAATGACCTTTTAAACACTAAAGCAGAAGACAGTCACTTAAAATTATGACAACATCCAGGTAAAAATTTCAGCTAAAACCTCACCACACACAGACTCAAGAGCATTCCAGAGCTAGAGAGTTACCGACTGCAACCTGCCCACCCCAGAGACCAGGAGCTAGGTCCCTGAGAGGCTGGCTGACCTGCCCAGGTCACAGCACAGCTGGCAGAACCAGATGGGCTCCGGAGAGCTGGTGCTGCTGGCTAGGCTTAGAAGTGTTCTCTAATCTTGCTGTATGATTTGGGCCCACTTTGATCTCTACTGAAAACTTTTAAAGAAAAGGTCTAACTGAACAAACACCATGTCACATTATATGGGACTCATACAGGGATTCAAGTCCACGCTGCACCTGCTTGAACCCTCCAGGCAGTACCTGGGCTGAATGACTGTACCCTCTCATATCTGATTTCATCTGGCGCAGCGAGCAACCACCCATTGCTGAGACCTCAGGTAGGGACTCACACAAAAAGGCCCTTCAATGCAGCAGCGTGTGCCCTTGTTTCAGTCATGAGTTCACTGTGTAGATGTCACATTAGACCAAATTTTGTTTTAATAACCTTACTGACAAGGTGCATAAGAATTATCTTTACCGATAAATAAGCAACAAGAAACCAGTTTATTTACGTAAAGCAGGCTTTCTGAACCTCAGCACTATTGATATTTTGGCTCCGGTAATTCTGTGGCATTAGGGGCTGTCCTGCGTGTTGTAGGATGTTTAGCAACACCCTGGTTTCTAGCCACTAGATGCTAGCAACATCCCTTCCCTGGCTGTGACACCCACAAACGTCGTTAGACATTACTAAATGTCCCCTAGGAGACAAAACTGCCCCCAGTTGAGAACCAGATTTAAATACAGTTTTCTAGTAACTGAGAAAAACACACTCCCACTTTGGGTCTTTTTATATCACAGATTATTTGTATTCAGTAAGACTGCAGTCTGGGGAATATAAACATTTGACCTCAAAATGGAGAAGGTCTGGCAGCCTGGCTGAGACCCAGGCCCGAAGGAAGCCCAAGGTACACACCACTCTCTCCAGCTAGGCTCATGTTTGGCTGCGCATCACACACTCTGAGCTTCCAAACCTTTATTGTTCATTTGCTCACTCAGACAAGTTCTGCAGCAGGAGGCAAATGCACACGTTCAATAAAGGGAGAGCTATGCGCTCTCCTCCGACAGCAGACACTGCCTCCCTGGGCACCACCCACCCACCAGGGCTCTGAGCCGGGGAGGGGCCAGGTCTTGATGATCCCACACTGAGCGGGTCTCAGGGAAGCAGCTAAACATTTATGGGGATCCCTGGGGTTCTCCAGGCTGTAAAGACCTCTGTCTCTGAACAAAAGCCTCTTGGGACTACATGCCTCCGTCCCTGGCTGTGGTTTCGCTATGGTTGGTCTCCATCAAAACGTGTGTTGAGGCTTGGCTCCCAGTATAACTGCGTTGAGAGGTGCAGGGAGCTTTGAAGGGCATTTGGGTCATGAGGGATCCGCCTTGACGAAGGAATGAATGTGCAGGAGTAAGTGGCCGCGCTCTCAGGACTGATGAGCTATTGTGAGAGGTGAGAGCGGGCTGCTATGAAACAAGGTTACCCCTGTGCTGTGTGTTTTGTATGCCCTGCTCACTGCTAACCCATCTCACGGGGCCTCTGCCAGGTGACGCCCTCCACTACATTACAGTGTGGCGCGAGGCTCTTGCCAGATGCAGCTGCCCAATCCTGAACTTCCCAGTTAGAGAAGCGCTAAATACACCTTTTCTCATTATAAATTACTCAATCTCAGATATTGTGCTACTAGCAACAGAAAATGGGCTAGAACATCCCTATACTGCCTTAAAAAAAAAACCTGGCTGGACTGCCACAATAGCAGTTTTCAATCAGTCAGTCACATGTTCTATGACCCATATAACATTTGCCACCTGCCTTGGTCAGTTCAAAGTGGGATGAAGAATGGGCTGGGCTGGCAGCACAGGCCAGGCACCATTCTGAGCTTCTACATACATTAACTCAATTTTTGCCACAATCCTGTGACATAAGAACTATTATTTCTCCCATGTTGCAAAGGGGAAACTGAGGCCCAAAGAGGTATAGTAACTTGCCCAAGACCACATCCTAGCAGGTGGTAGAGCCGGGATTCAGATCCCAGCGGGTCTCTCTCTGGAGCTCCCTGCCCGCCACGCAGGGCTGCCTCTGCTGCGCTCAGTTCTGGGGCCAAGCTGGGCATCCAGGTAGAGCTGTTCCGCACATCCTGTGTCAACTGCTCCGATCATCAGGTGAAATTCGTTATTTGGGGCATGTAAACAGATGGCAGCCCCTGAACCACAGGAGAGGTCGGGCTGTGCTAAACAGGAAGCTAGTCCCCTTGTTCCTGAATGACCACGTCCCAGGATCGGCAGGATTCATGGTAGGTCCTAAACCCCAGGGCCAGGAAAGCTGAGGGCAGCCTGTGTCAGTTGGCACAGTGCCTGGGACACGGAAATCCTCGGCCTTGAGGTCCCGTGTTGTGGGCACAGCACATGCGCTTGCTCTCTCCTAAGCTTGGCCTCATCTTTGGGAAGGGAACAGCAGGGAAGCCACTGGTAAGCGGGGGCCTCACTCCCGCGCGCCTGTGCACTTCAGCATAAGCGGACGCCTTCTCTGCACGGAGGGGCCAGATAACCAGGAAGGGTCTGGAAAACCAAAGAGCTATGAGCTATCGTGAGAGGTGAGAGCAGGCTGCTATAAAGCAAGGTCACCCCTGTACTATGTCTGCTTTGTACGTACCTGAGGTACATCCCCACGGCATAGGCGCACAGGAAGGAGTAGTCCAGGGCCCCAAGCAGCTGCTGATAGTTGTTCTTATCTACACGAATTTGAAAATCAACAGGAAAAGCTCAGTATTGTTTAGTGTATGTTCTAGAGCACGGCTATAAAACACAAAGCATCTGTTCTCTAAATCTGGGTGTACTTAGTGAAACGCGTGGTTTTCCACACAGAAAACAAGGCGGTGCATTTTCCGTTCAGTTTCTCGCAAAGGAAAATGAAGTCACCGCAGTTTCAAATAATCACTAAATATAATGCAGGCATCATTCAGATGGGATAAAATCCCCATTGTGCATGGTGGCTGCACATTTGATTGATGCCTTTTGTTTTACGTGTCCACTGGCTTTTCTGCAGCACGCCTGCCTAGGCCAGCACCCACACCAGCCCCTCGTGTCTCTCTCTTCTTCCCGCCCACGGAACTATGCCCTGCAAGTCTGAAATACAAAATGCAAATGATCTGCAGCACATCTCCCTATTAAGAGAACCTTCTTTCAGGAGGAACAGCTCCGCACACAGGTGCTACGGACACAGTGGCGGTGAAGTCACGTGCTCTTGGGTAGGAGAGAGGGCTGTCATGGAAATGCAGTTTCATCTGGGAACGGCATTACTGTTGCTAAAGTTATTAACAGCGAGGCTGGAAGAACCTTGGAAGGACAGCCGCTTCAGCTCCTGGACGGACCGATGATCGACTTACCAAATGGTGCCCAGCCACAGTCGGTCTCATTGTCAGGGAGCTGGCGGGGGCCAATGGACCCAGACTTGCCGCTCTGGCTGCTGAATCTGCCGTCAGCTTCATCCCAAGCAGTGCAATACTTGTGGAGCTCACCCTGGGATGTGATGGGAGGGCAGAAGCAAGGAGAGGAAGTGCCTTCAGTGAGGCTCAGCATGGGGCACAGAGAGGAACAGTCACCCCTCCTCTCCCAGCAGCCTGCCCAGGACACCTGCACCCTGCATTCTAACGGAAACACAAGGCGCCGCTGGCAGTGTGTCTGCAGGACCCACAAGAATGCCTGCTGGTGACGTTTCAGCAGGACTCTCCAGCAACCGCACTCCTGAGCGCACAACGAACATAAGCCATCTTCATATGCCACTGGAAGACAAGCCTCAGGAGCAGTTTTAGTCCTAAGAGCTCCAAGCTGAAAGCCGACTGCCTGTCATCCTTGACCACCTGTCCACAAGGCAGAAGGGGTATATTTTCCTAGATTCACACAACTGAATGCTACACACCAATGAAAAAGAACAAGTCACAGGTCCAAGCAACAATGAGGATGAACCTCACAAACATAACATGAAGCAGAAGCCAGACACGAAAGAGTACGGACTGCAGCATTCCACTCATACGAAGTCCAAGGATGGACAACGAATCCACGTGGCTAGAGGTGACAGTCACGGTTACCTAAAGGGGGACAATGCGGGACAGGGGATGGGGAGCTGTCTGGGAGCTAGAAAGGGTCCATCCCTTAACCTAGGGGATGGCTACCCCTATGGGCATGTACAGATCTGCCAAGCTGGACACTGAAGATCTGTATACTTTACTAAGTGTAAATCATACTTCAATTTAAAAATATCCCTGGGGCAGGGCACCACCTGCCCCCTAAACTAGCCACAGAACCAGCAAGCAGGGCCAGGGTTGGAGGCACTTGTCTGGGAGGTGGGAGGAAGGGAAAGCCGTGGCCCTGGGGTTTGGTTACCGGCTGTGTGAACATGTTACTTGCCGCCCCTGCCTCGGTCTCCCCCTCTGCAGACGAGGCTGCTGCCCAGTTACAGAAGTCACTGGGACCTGTGACGCTGAACTCCAGGCTTTTGCACAGAGCTTAGGATGGCATGGCCCTTGTGAAACAAACCCTGGGGAGAAAGGAAAGCTCATCTGTCGGGAGGCAGAGGGGCCTGAGTGGGCTTTTCCTCAGTGCACTCCTTGGGAAGAGGAACAACACCTACAAGACAGCGCCACATGTGGCAGGGGCCCGTCTCGTTGTGGGGGAAGCTGAGGAAGACAGAATGTGCTCTGTGACTGTGTGTCCCTCCCTGGTGGCCTCTGTCACTCCCATGCCTCTCTTCTCGGGGGTCTCTGTGGTGATCACTCTGCACTAGTCAAGACTCAAAGGAGCTGGCCCATCAGGCGTGAGTGATGGCGGAAAGTGGGGTCCTTGTGGTCAGAGGGGTGTCCCTTAGGGGGACTGAGTACCCGTTCAGTGCCCATAATACCAGAGGGGTATCCTCGTCAGCTGGAACCTGAGACAGGCCAGGGGTCTGGCGGGCAGTGCACAAAGCTGGCTCCAGGTCAGGGCACAGAACGCTGGGCAGGGAGCCACCCCAGTGACCAGGCAGGCAGCAGTCGGAAGTCCTGTCCCCCTCTCTTCAGGAGGGAGTGGCCAACAAGGCTAGCCACCTTCAAAAGGCCAGGGCTTTTGAATCGAGGCTACACACCCTGATTTATAGCTGGCAGCATGTGGGCCACGTCACTGAGTCCTGGCATGGCACACGGGATGCAGCTGCTCCACCGTCATGTGACTCTGTCGTCATCACTGGGCTGTTCTGCTATAATTAAACACTGTCCCAAAAAAGTAGCCAAGGGCTCTACTGTACAATGCAAAGTCATCATCTGCCCAGCAGCTCCCTTGACAGAGCTGGTCCTCCCTGGAGGCGCCATGCTGACCTCCTGGCATGTCGGGAAGAGTGCTTTCATTTGCTCCCCGACTGCTCGGGGACCCCTGGCTGCTCCTGCTTGTGTTTTAAATTCTCCACCCAAGGTAGATGTGAGGGGCTGTGAGTGTGATCGTGAGACCCGGGGCGGGTGCCTGCAGCCCTTCCTCTCTGTATCAAGCTGGTATCTGCGGCCTTTCTCCATTCACCTGCCGCCTTGTTGGACACTTTTCCTCCTCAGTGCTTTCAGAAGTCAGGTGTTTCTGCCCACCTTTCCCTGCTGCCTCTCATGGAAGCCAATCTGGCCACACCCAAAGGCCGAAGCATCGCCACAATTCACCTCTCACTGAAGAAACCCACGGCTAGGACAGGAGCACAGGACACTCCCCAGCCAAGGAGAACCCAGGGATAAGCTGAAGTTTCTAACATTAACCTGGCACAGAAGAAAGGAAAAAGAGATTCTGCAGGCCGCCGCTTAAAACAGAATTTTATATCCTTTGTGATTTCATATTTCTGGGAGGAACCACCTGCCGAAAACATATCTGATTAGAAATGCTCCTTTTTTTCCATAAATAAGCAGTCAAGTTTTTCTAGTTTTGTTATGTAATGAGTGGGGGCCTCACATCCTGGTTAGGGATACAGGCTTTGGTGGCAGACAGGCCTGAGCTGGGATCTTGGTACCTCTCTGTGGCTTCTGACCTTGGTGACATCACTTACACTCCCTGGTCATCAGTTATGGAGTTGGCATGACAATGTCTGTGTCCCAGGGTTGCTATAAAGATGAACCATAAATGGAGCGCACCTCTCTGGCCCTCCACCCCTGGGAAGGGCTCAGGAAAGGGCTGCTGTGAGTCCAGGTGCCTCTCCGGCCCTTCTCCTTGTTGTTGGAAAGGTCACCTCCACCTGCACCCTGCAGCCCCGTTGGAAGGCTGCTGCCAAAGCAATCGAGATTTCATGTAACTCCAGCACAAAGGGTTCTGAGGATATTTACATAACCACAGGTTTTCAACAACGTTGCTATAGTTCAGTATTTCTATGAGTTTTACCCCCCAAACCTGGTGTTTGAGGGACAATGCAAACTTAATTAGGTTAAGATGAATTGTTAAGCAAACCCCTCGCCAGGTGAACAAATTCTCACCTAAGTGCTTCATGGAGGCACCCTCACCTCTGCACAGCCACACCATCCCTGTAGAAATACTTGGGGAGGGGGTCAAGTCCTTTGGGAAGCATCTGCTTTCATAAAGGCAGCTTTCTTCACACGTTTTTACACAAGTGCCTTTCAACAAGTTCCAAACTCAATCAACCCGCGACATCAGGTAGATATTAAAAACTGATCAGGCAAAAGGCTCTGCGGCAACTGAACTCCACACTTACGATATGTGAGGCGGGGAGGCTGAGCGGGCCCTGTGAACACGTGGGCGTCGCGGCTGCTAAAGCGTCCATGCAACACACAGAGCAGCAACAAAAATAAACAGCAGATGGGTGGAGGGTGGGGGTGGGAGAAGAAAGGTGCCAATCTTGTGGAAGAACACAGGGAACCGCCAGGAGTCACAGCGCTACAAGTGTGCGGGGAAGGCGGCAGGGCCGGGAGTCACAGCGCCACGAGTGTGCGGGGAAGGCGGCGGGGCCGGGAGTCACAGTGCTACGAGTGTGCGGGGAAGGCGGCGGGGCCGGTAGCTGGCAACGTCTTCTGTCTACAGACTCCCTGGCCACCTCCAGCCCTCCCCACCCCTCCCACTGGCAGCGAGAGGAAATCCCGTCCAGGGAGCAGCAGGCAGCTGCAGTGGGAATTTCATGGCACTAGAAAAGACTGGACTCCTCATCCTGCACCTGCAGAGACCCACGCGGTCATTTAGGCACAAACATTCACTGCATTAGCCTGCATTCCACCAAGGCTCCATTCTTTCCACGCTGAATTTGAGCCACTTCGCCAAGAGAAACCACTCGTCCCACCCTGGGTTCTCAGCCCCACCATTGCCTGAGGCTACAGCCACAGGGCACATTCTCTGCAGGAGGTACGTGGCCTCCAATAGAGGAGATTACCCGGTGGTCTGGGGTGCAGGAGACACTGAAAGGCAACAGTGAGAGGACAGGACAAGAGCAGGGGATTCGGGCCTCACTGAATCCCCCCGGAGGACAGTGGGGTTAGGCCAGTTTCACTCCACCTTTAGCCAACACAGAGGGTGTATGTGTGTGCGTGTGTGTATACATATCTGCATTTGATGATCTGTCTAGTCAACTTTACGTGGCTCGTTAGGCTGTGTGGGTGCACTGATTCTAACTAGTCCTTCACATTCCTTTTATAAGGCTACAAGAATTCTCCAAAGCATTATCTAAGTCCTGGAAGAGCAATTAAAGTTTTGGTACCAAAAGTAGGAGCGACCAGACAGGCTCTCCCCCACGGACGACAGCACCTGCCCACAGCCAGCCTCCCGCGATGAGTCACAGTTGCCACGTGAAATGCGTTATACACACTTGGGCACAGGCACGCAAACGCTCCACGCATGAAGGATACAGAAATAGATGGAGGAGCTTCTTGGTCATTGTTTACTTCTCAAAAATGGAATCATTCTATACATCCTTATGCACATGTTAACTTCTTACTCAAAATGCCTCCTGGAAATGTTTCTGAGTCAACTGGTTTGCCTCTGATAAATTCTTTTCATAATATGGACTTGTCACCATTTATTCAAACTTTTACCTGCTTATTGGGTTCCCTTGATACCCAGCATTGGTTTTTTCCTTTTTCCTTTTTTTGGTCACTACAAACAAAGCTGCCATAAAGACGCTTATGAAGACATTCCCAAGTAAGGTGCTTTTATTTTTAGGGTGAAATTCCCAGAAGCATGTCTGAAGGCTGCAGTATTTTTTATTTCACTGGGTGTCACCAAAAGGTGCTAACACTCGACATCCCATCAAGAAAGCATGAAAAGTCCTCCCCCATCATGGCCAGTGAACAGGGCTTACTGCTCTGGGCAATGCTGTGCCAGCCATTGAGCACACTGTTGCCTTAATCTGCATTTGGAATACCAGCAGACTTGAACACCATTCACACATTTCCGGGCAATCTGAATTCCATGTCTGTGAACTGCCTGTTCATCCCCCTTGCCCGTTGTTTCTTTGGGTTTCCTAACTTCACACTTACTCCTACGATAAACATAATTTTCTTCTTGGATTTTTACTTTTTGTGTTTTACATTCATATCTTTAATCCATTTGTTTTTATTTTATTTTTTTGAGATGGAGTCTCACTCATGTCGCCCAGGCTGGAGTGCAGTGGTGTGGTCTCAGCTCACTGCAACCTTCACCTCCCGGGTTCAAGCGATTCTCCTGCCTCAGCCTCCCCAGTAGCTGGGATTATAGGCGCCCATCACCATGCCCGGCTAATTTGTTTTTGTATTTTTAGTAGACATAGGGTTTCACTATGTTGGCCAGGCTGGTCTCGAACTCCTGACCTCAGGTGATCCACCCACCTTGGCCTCCCAAAGTGCTGAGATTACAGGCGTGAGCCACCGCGCCCGGCCAGTTTTCTCCTTTTAAGTCCTGTGTGTCCAGAGAGGGGTGGGCACCCTCACATTCAAATCAATGCTGCCACCCCCCTGGCTCCAGGGACCCCTGCAGTTTAGGCTTCTCTGGGAAGCCTCTGCTTTCAGGTTTCTGCTCTGGGCCAGCCCAGGAGAAAAGAGCTCCCACTAAGATCTCTGCTGGGAGAGTGTAGAACCACCTGTCTACCAGCTTGGGCAGATGCTTGCCTTGAGTCCTGAGGCTGGGCCACAGCTGGAGCAGCAGGTAGAATGGACAGGATTGCACTTATAACACCACTATCCTCCCAGCCCTGGCTTTATCATCATCATCGAGAAAAATACAATTCATCAGCAGTGATCAAAGGTAATCTAAACATTGCAGACTAACTTAAATGTGACCTGCTGTGCCATGTCATTCTATAAATGACATAATAGAATGAGAATCACTTTCTAATTCACAGCTCCTGGTTCGATTTCAGGTAAGCAAATGTATTTTGCTTTTGTTTTGTTTGCAATGTTCTAGGAAATGCGGCTGTAAATAATCACTCAACTGTTTTGTGGGTCAACAGAATCACTGCCACTTTCCGTTTCATTGACGCCTTTCATATCATGGGCTCAAGCACATGGGTGCTTCATAAGGCACTGCAAAGTTTAGTTTTGATGTGGTGTGATGTTCTGATCTATCTTCAAAGGTGAAGAAACGCATGGGATTCAGCGTCAAGCCAATCCATGCCCAGGCACATCACAGCTGCTAGTTCGGGAAATCTGTGAGTTTAGGAGGCTCGAGTGTGATGCTGGGAGTGTACTCAGGTAATTACACCCGGACAGACCCTGAGGCACAGAGAAGAGGAGCGGGGGCCCTGGAGGCAGCCTGACCCACAGGGAATTCTCCAGTGCATAGCAGCCCTGCCTGGGGGAATGAGGCCCCGAGCCTCAGTTTCCTCACAGGGGCACTCACAGGGTTGCTGTGAAGGTCACGGGGTAATGTGTGTGGCACTTCGTCATACCCCAGGGCTCTGTAAGCGGCAGTTATTTATACTGGTACTTATGACACTGAACTAAGAGCTGACCCTGACGCTGCCTCCTCAGAAGCCCTAAGCCCTGAGTGGCTTGGACAGCACCACACACAAGAGTTGGGGCAGGGGCTTTAAGATGGACCACCAGGTAAGCCGCGAGAGGGACCGGGACAGGGCTCCCACTTGCTCCTGGCTCACAGGGGCCCTCGTGGTCATCAGGTGGACCCCAACAGCTTTGACCGCTGACAAAGATCCCCCCAAGGGCCAGCCCATCTTACGCGCTACATCTGCCCCCCCTAGCCCGTCAGGTGGTGGCTTCATGGGGACGCCCACCCCTGCACATAGTACTCAAGGCAGTTCTCCCACCTGCAAAGCTGTTTTTCTTCCCCTACAATCCACACCCAACCTTTCCAGGCCAATCCTGAAACCCCACGCAGGCTCCCCGACTACACCAGATCCTTCAACTCCAATGCACTCACCAAGTCTCTTCAATAGGTACTTCCATCTTTATAATTTACCATTTTCTTGAGCTGTTTGTGTATTTCTCTACCAGAAAGACAAGTAGCAGCAATATTCAGATTTATAATGACTGGTTATTGGCACTGATTTATAATGACTGGTTATCAGTACTGTTTTATAGTGACTGGTTATCGGTACTGATTTGAGAGTCTCTTGTCAAGCAGATGAGTGTTTCTTAAGGCCCACTGCCTCTTTTCATATTCTTCTCTTAAAACCCACATTTTTTAAGGTCTGCAAACGTTTTCCACAGTCAACAACTTGAAAGGCATGGAAGTTTCTTGCTTACCAGGGGCCAAGGGGGAATTTTAGAATCTTTTGGGTAAATGAATGTTTAACATCCCCTGAAAGCTGCTGGAGAGTGGGAAACCTAGGACTGTCACAAAAGAACCAGCCTCTGCATTGCCTCTGCCGACCGGGGCTGCGGAGGGCAGCCACCCAGGGCTCAGCCACTGGCAGGAGTGGAGGAAGCACAGCTCCAAAGGTTACAGAATTGCAGTCCTGGATCTGGGTCCCTGCCAACTCCTGGAGAGTGAGCGAGGGGCCGTCGGGCTGTGAATGCGCTGTCTCTGGCAGTGGATGCCTGGGAGAAAATCCAAGAAACGCCCACAGGCGTGGAGGGGCAGGCCACCCCTTCAGTGGATGATTTCCTCATTCCTTCTACGATAGAGACTCAAATGCCTCTCAGGCCCCTGATGGTCTACAGGCAGGGTGACGTAATCCCAACGAGGGTAAGAAAATTATTCCTGCTTTTCTCCAGGTTGTAACTGGTGTTTATGTAGTCTTGTCTGCTTTAATCTTCTTTTCTCAAAGTCTAGTGGAACACCTGTTTAACAACTTCCTGCGCACCCATCACTCAGACAAAAACACAGTGTTCCAAGAATAACGGAGAGCCACCTCCGCAGCCAGACCGGGGGTCGGATCAAAACAAAAACAGAGTTCCAAGAACAACGGAGAGCCACCTCCGCAGCCAGACCCGGGGTCGGATAGCACGAAGAGCTGGAATTTGGGGAACCACTTAAGGTTGGATACATTTGGAAGGAACAGTCACACAAGATAAAATAAATATTTAGCTAAGCTTTCAGATTCTGGAACTGTCAACTAATAGAACTAAAAGTCTACGACCTCTGAAAGTATAAATCCAAAAAGCATTTAAAAAATGTCAATTTTAGGAAAGGGAAACTGCAAAGCCAAAGCAGCAGAAGAACTTGTTTCTAAATCATCTGTTTTCCCGCATATCTGCTGCCATCCCCACCCTCTGCCCCACACGCCCTTCAAGTGACCAACTCCTTACAGAGGCGACAGGCCGTGCTTTCATGATTCTTACCTTAACTATGCTGATAGGCTTTCGAGATAAGTGAAAACTTGCATACAGCAGAAATGTCAAAATAAAAATGAAGGCTCTGTACCTGAAACACAAAACAGTGGGAGAGGATGACATGAAATAACAGAAGTTATGTTAGGAATACATGTCACTGTGTTCTGAAATGTTCTTATGCTGTGTATTATTCATTCAGTTCCACAGCAACTATCAATATTACTTATGTCACTATAATATTGGAACATTCAAAAATATTGCCACTTTTGCTTTGTTCACATGGAAACTAAACACCGTAAGAGACAGGAAAAACCAGATTGCTTTTCCTACCCTCATGCACACCACACCACACACCACACTTCTCACACTATATGTGTACGGGTTTGCCCCATATACAAAGCAATTCTCCAGCTGACACTAGGTATCCTCTAAGTGAATTCAATTCTGATGCTGTCCTTCAGGAGTCAGCATCAGCCCCCATAGGGCGGGGCTCCGGCTGAGGCTGCCCCGGCTCACGTGCCAACGGCAAGCCCCAGATTGTGGCCCGCTCCTCCGACCAACTGGCTCTCAGCATGGTTCCCAAGAACCCCTCCTCAGGTTTGATTAATTTGCCAGAGCAGCTCACAGGACTCAGGGAGACACATTTATTGGTTTTTATAAAGGATGTCACAAAGAATACACACAGATGAAGAGACGCACAGGGCGAGGGATGGGGCAGGCAGCTTGGAGCTGCTGTGCCCTCCCCAGGACTCCACCCTCCGGGAACCTCCCCGTGCTCGGCAGCCTGCAACCCCCCCAAACCCTGTCCTTGAGGAAGTCTGTAGAGGCCTCATTACACAGGCACGATCCAGCAGATCACCGGCCACCGGTGATCCACTCCACCTCTGCGGGATCCCTCCCCTCCCCAGAGGTCCACGGGTGGAGTTCCAACCTCTAATCACGTGATCGGTTGCCCTGGCAACCCGTCCCCCAAGAGGCTGTCCTGGAGCCCCAGCCATAGTCACCTCATTAGCAAATAAAAAGATACTCAGCACTCAGGAGCTGTGTGCTAGGAGCCAGGGCCAGAGACCAAACGCATGTTTCTTATTACGTCACAACATCAAAAACATTCATTTATTTAAAAAAACCATAACCAAAGGGAAACCTGGGACTCAAGATGCACACTTGAGTTTACAAAGCAATAACAAGGACGATGAAATGTTTAGTTTACAACAAAACTAACCACGAGTTTCTTGCGTAGCCTGCTATCCTGGGCAATTAAGATCATATTTATTTTTGGCTCTTTGGTTTCTATGCAACTTTTCAGAAGCACACAAGGAAGGCAGACATATAAATATTTCACAGCCCTCAAAGAGGAAAAAGTCAGGGACGCTGGCAGGCTCTCAGTAGGCCAATGACAGAAACACTGGCACAAAGCCCCTCGCTCAGTTTGGCTGGGAGAAAAGCAGCCAAAAGAGTAAGCATGAGTGTGAGGAAAAAGAAGAAAAGAAGGTGCCTTAGAGAGAAGACAAAGGGCAACTTCAGTCTAAGAGTCTCAACCACCGCATAGAAAAATACTTTTTGGGGCAACAAAATGTGTTGGGAGAAAGAAGTATTTGACAGGAGCGGAAGGCGAGTGGCAGCTCTTCTGTGTCCTAGGCACACCTCCCTCCCCTGGAGAACCTGTCCTGTTTGTGGCCTGGGAAGACCAATGACTTCAAATGGTGCCACCAACAACCTGAATCAATAATTACCTAAGGCGGAGTCCTACACAGGACAAAGACAGGCAGCGTTTCCGGGAGGCCCTGGGATAAGGGGTCGCTTCTCCCAGCTGCGCATCTACATTTTTAAGGTTGTGATTTACTCCGAGGGAAGCTTTCCACGAGTAACTAAAATCCTAGGATCCCAGAGCTGCCTTCTTCTCTGGTTACCAGCTAAAGTAGAGTTCAAATAGATACTTCCAGATTTTTCTTAAAAAAAAAAAAAGACCATATTTCAGGTGGGAAAGAAAGGTTGGTGGCTCTGTGGGACTCAAAACCACCACCTTTGGAATGCCTGTGCCTTAGGGGAAGGCACCGAACCACACCAAACCAACTCGCAGAATACCTGCTGACTGAAGACAGAAATTCCCCAGCGCTCTCTTCGTCATCAGGGAACCATCTTCCAATGGCCTTTCTTCACTTCTTCCTCTCCAAGCCCATGGCAAAGGCCAAATGGGAAAAAAGTGAAACTCTAAAAGACGAGCATGTCGTTTATCCCAAAGCCCAAAGAACAAAGGCTACGTGGGTCCAGTGGATTTGCTCCAGAAGCCCAGGCCTCTGTCCTCGTGTTTCTGAAAACCATCCTTTCTGACAAGGAAAGAAAGTCTCAGCACTTCGGATGAAGCTCTCTGTTAGGCCACCGCTGCTTCTCGCGCCTCCAACTGCCGGTGCAGGAAGATTCCAGGCCACTGGGCTTTACTGGCCCTCAATGCTCACTTGTCCAGCCCACAGCCTGACAAACTGGTCACTTCCACCCCACTTGCTTCAGCTGACTAGGGCAAGTAAGGCTGATGGGTGACCCTGATCAGCCCTCATTGGAGTACAGGGTTTCCTTCTCCAATGTCCTCAAAACGTGTGAACAAAGTTCTCAGGCCAAGTTCCCTCCAGCACCTTCCCAGTCAGTCTCAGACAAGTCCATGGAGCATCTCTCCTGCGCCCTTGAGGATTCTCCATCCACAGCGCCAGTTCTATAGGTGCTATCACTCAGCTAGGAAGGATTTTGAGAAGAGCAGTTCTGCCCTATGGGCTGTGGGATCACATCTCCACTCACCACCCAGACAGCCCAGAAGGAAGGCTGTCTCCCTTTGTCAGGCTGAGGTATGAAGAGTGCTGGGGCCCCGACACCCACCGCACTCCCGATGGTCAGGGCTGCTTGGGTGATCAGGCCCTGGGGATGTGCTCTGGGCCCCTGCTTTCCTCTGCGGGATGACTCCTGGCTAGTGTTCACAGCACACACCCAGAGATGCCCTGAGAACACTGAGGAGCACACAGGGGGCAGCACATGCCTCTGGAACCTTCAGTTCAGCCTTGTGTGGAGGGAGACGCCTTAATGAGTGAGCCCCTTTGGGAAGAGTCACTGCCACAGTGTAGCCGGCCTGAGAAGCCGTCCTGTAGAACTGGGTAAAGGGTCCATTTACACAGGAAACTGGAATGTTCCTAAAGACTGAAGAGGAAAACCCTATATTTATTTAGCTGGTGTCAGGCCAACTCTGCTTCTATTTGCAAATTCGTCTTTCCTCCTTCATTTTCTTCATCTTCTGTACTTAGGACTTGGGGCTTGGGGATGGAGGAGGAAGTGGCTAGAGGCTGGACTTTCCTCTTTGAAAGGTCTGACTTCAGGTCCCATGGCCACTGCTATACCGCGGCAGCCACACTCGGGCCGCTGCCTTGCTGGTGGTCACCCCGACACGCCTGGCCTCTGGGTAGGCAGATGCTTCACTCTGCAGCATGGATGGACTCAAACCCCCAGAAGCCAAATAGCCCTCCCGAAGTCCTTTCTTATTTTGTAATTCTATCTACATTTTCTTTATCGTTTATAAAGCAGATGATATTTGTTTCCTTTTATTCATTTTGTACTGGGTTGAATATCGTCCCCCATAATTTCATGTCCACCCAAAACCTCAGAATGTGACCTTATTTGGAAACAGGGCCATGTAGACATGATTAGCTAAGGTGAGGGCATATTAGAGTGAACCCTAATTTCAATGACTGGTGTCCTCACCAGAAGGTCACGCAAAGACTCAGAGACGGACAGAAAGGGAGGCCATGTGGCCACGTAGGCAGAGACTGGCACGATGCAGCCACCAGCCAAGAACTGCGGCAGCAGCAGGAGCTGGAAGAGGCAAGGAGGGTCTGTCCCCGGAGCCTGCAGAGGAAGGGTGGCCCTGCTGACGCTTTGACTTTGGACTTCTGACCTCCAGGGATGTGAGAGGGTAAATTCCTGTTGTTTCAAGACACCCAACTTGTGGTCCCTTGTTACAGCCGCCCCAGGAGGCTAATATAATCCTTTCATTTTTGTTTTGTGTTACGTTTAGACTTATGAATATAAAACAAATACAATAAAAAAATGATCTAATCGATCTGCTCCTCAGTGTTCGGCTTACTTTTTGCAGTTATGACTACTTACAGCATGCCTGGCTTCCACCAATACAAAAAATCCCACGTTTCTAGCAAGAAAGCAGGTCTCAGCAACGACAGCCCCAGATGGGGGCGCCCCTGAGCCTCCTCAGAGGTGTTTTCGAAGACCACGTGTTCTCAGGTGGACGGCAGCCTGCTTAGGGTGAGAGGCTTCCTGCAAAATATCTGTCACCTTGTTTGAGTGCTATTACCTCAATCATATGCAAATAAGGAATAAAGAAACGCTTTTGAGAATTACTGAGTGATATTTGGTGCAGAAATTAGTCCAAAGACATCCTCACTTCAGAAACAAGGAAACCAGACAGAGAAGTGATGCCATGTCCTGTTCAGAGTATCCTGTCAGGAGGCGCAGGACGGCAGTGACACTGACGTTGGTCCTTGGTTAAAGTGCTGTCTGCCTCATCGTTCCTCAGTGAAACGACTACGTTTCCCTCTAAGTAATGAATATGGAATTTCTGGAAACCTGCTCTGAGATGATGGAGATATCCTGTTCCTCAAGCTGCTGCCCCACGGAGTGCATCCACTGGCGTTCTGTCCCTGCGCTGGGCACCCTGCAGTGGCTCCACATCCCCGCTCCACCTAGCAGCCAGTGTCCACTGTACAGAGAGCGTGCATTTCTCCTACTTATTCAGTTACATCAGTAGGACTCGCCAGAGTCTTATGCTATTCAATGGGCTATCATTCACAATGAGTCTCATTTATTGTAAATCTCAGATTGTCCTAGATTTGACAAGTCAGAGTACCTTTGTAAGCACTTCCTTATTTTCTGGCACAAGATGTTCCTGGCTCATCTTTTCCTTGCCCTGCCCCAGTCCTGGCATTGGCCAGGTCTCTGAGGACTCCTGACTCCTTTTAGTGGGAGATGCCATGCAGAAACCAAGATCCCAGACCAAAGTGTGCTCACTTTAGTGCTATTAATGTTCCCAGGACCTCCCAGCAGGGTGCATTTTACACACACACACGCATTCACACACACATGCACACACCCACCCTTCTCTATTTCTATATCGACCGTCACCAGTTTATCCCGAGACCTTTCATTCCAATCCAGCCCCACTCAGTTCCTTCCAGTTCCCCTCCCTCATCCCATGTCTGTAACTCCTTCTCCAGTAAAGAGAAAGCTGCCTCATTTCTATGGGATTTCTGTAAAAAACACATAATCTGAATCTAATCATGAGGATGAGGAAATAACAGACAAAGTCAAAATGTGGCACATCCTATAAAATAAATGGCTTGAACTCTTGAAACATAACAAGGCCATTATCTCAGAAGAAGGAAAAAAAGTCAAGGTCAGAAAAGATGAAAAAAGGCCGAGGAACAGTGCCAGATGAAGAGACTAGACCCACAGGATAATTAAATGCAATGTATGAACCTGACTAGATCCTGAACGGAAGAAGAAATGCTATCACAGATATTTGACGATATTTGATATCATTTTTAACATGGACCGTGGATTAGATAACAGTATCTTATCAGTGTTAAATTTCCTGATTTTGATCTTTTTGCTGTGGTTTTGTGGTTTTATAAGAGAATGTCTTCTTTATAGGAAATACACACGGAAGTATTTACAAATAAAAGGGTATGATGTCTGCAACTTACTCTCAAGTGGTTCAGAAAAGTGTGTGTGTACAAACATACATCTACACACATGCACACACACATACACACACACTGTGGAGGGGCAGGGAGAGAAGCAGATGAGGCTAAATGTTAATCTTTGACATACAGTGGTTCTACAGGAACTTCTTACAGATGTTAGTAAGTTACGTGAGTTTGAAATTATATCAAAATAAACTTACAAAATGAAGAAGCTAAACACTCACTAAATAAAACCAAATTGTTCAGGCACTTGTGGCTAGACTCACAGCAGACACGAAATGAGTCAAGAAGAGAAGCAATCTGGTTGAAGAACACAGATGCCCTCAAGTCAAACCTGAGACACCCTGTGGATGCTCCACCAACCAGCAGGGCTGAGAAGCTGCGCAGGGCTGGGGGCCGCCAGGAGGTTGGCGCGGAGGAGATGAATAGGCCCAGAATCCGCCGCTGTGGCATCAAAATCATTTGGAGCAGAAGGCATTTGCGTTCCTGAATTCTCTTAGCTACTGAAAAGCAGAGTTCCCCAAAAGAATTCAAAAGAATCCACCTGCTATAAATTCTGTCCCAAGAAGCAGCCAGGGAAGCTGGACTCTTACCACTGGAGATGAGAAGCCTCCACACTGCACTGAAACAGGAATGGTCACAAAACTATCACATCGCCCATCTGTTCTCTTGAGGGCCCACTTGTCTTTCCAAAAAGCCATTTGTTTGCCCACAAGTGCCCTTCTCCCACTCCCGTTCCCCTGTGAAGGACGGCGCATAAGCCCAGAATTCTAAATGCCCCTTTGAGGGACACTTTTCTATGACCTCTTGTACGTAAGTGGTGAAATCTGTCTTTTCTCTTGCTAGTCTGTCTTTTGTCAGTTTAATTCCCAGTTCCCCCAAAACAGAACCTACGAGGGTAGAAGCAAAGTTTTTCCTCTCCCAGAAGAGTTCAGCAGGACAAGTTAGAGGCCAGGGAGGCCAGCTTCAGACTCTGGGCTTGTCAACTGTTTTCTTCAAGGAGAATGGAATTAATGAGGCCACCTAAGAGGAGGATTCTCACAATACGCAAGGGGAGGTGCTCTCTGAACAGAAAGCGGCACTCTGAGCTGCACCAGAACATTTCATTTTCTCTCTGAAAGTTCTGCCCCAGCGAGGCCACTCATCTGAGCTCAGAGTTGTGTAACTTACATACAAGTTATGTGCTTATTTCACCACAGTCGTTTGCTAACCCTGCTGGTAGCCTGTGGTCACTTTTCTGTAGGGACCATGATTCTTCCAGAAACCACTGGAGACCACGCAGAAGCCCAAACACTATCTGACAATGCCAGTACCAAGGGCAAAGGACACCTCAGTGCTGTTCTGGGTCATGGCTTCCACTGCCAGTAAGCAATTCAACGGTTATGGGCGAGGTCAGTGATTCAAGTTTTATGTGTTTTATAATGAAACTGGGGCAACACAACTACCTGCACAGTAGCCCTCACTTATACACAGCTCCATGCCAAGGGCCTGCCCCGCCAGGACTCACCACTGATCCCTGGAGAACGAGATGATGAAGCGAATGCCAGCGGGGAGTTGAGCCATTTACGTTGCCACTGACCACACAGCCTCGGTCGCAGAATAAGATGCTTCATAAATGGGTCATTAATCCTGGCTCCAGGTTCCCTCTCTGCTGCCCCTGCCACTCCCACAGGCTGGAAAGCGTGGAAAGAAGGTGTCCTGCTGGGTCTTGTCCCCTTCCTTCTGGCAGTGGCTCTGCTCTCTACGAGGAGGAGGACAGGCATTCAGAGTCCAGTGTCCTGACATTCACACATTCAGCATTACTGGCAGAAGTAACCACACACATGTACAGTAGCAGTACCCCGTCCTGATCAAAGCTGGACATCTGATACAAGCAGGGGTCCCCACCACGACTGTTACTAGGAAGAGGTGGAGTGAGGTGGAGTATCTGCCCTCGAGGCGGTTTGTTCTGAGAACCCTGAAATGAATTTCAAACAACGTTCTGATGGTGGATAAAAAGGAACCAAGAAACTCATCTCTATCTGGGAGGCATCTAGAGATCAACCCATTCACAAAACCAAACATGTGTCCAGCAGCCACGCTATGTGCCCAGATACCAGGGCATGCCAAGGCACTGGACTGGCTCAGTTCCACCCCTGTGGGCCAGGTCACCTTTGAACCATAGTGACAGAGAAACATCGGCCTAGACAAGAGGGCAGATCAAACCAATTATTTAATTGTGACTTTGCCATTTGAATCCAAAGGAGGAATGAATTTGCTTCTGTCTGCCTCTTCAATTTTCATCTTTTGTGGTCACCTCAGAAGTCATAGAAAATGACCTGATTATGAACTCAGGGCTGAAGGCAGAGCAATATAGGAAGGAATGGGGAAGGAGGCCTGAAAACTGAGAGGGGGCTCAGCACAGCAGGCAGGCCCGGTCTCCCATGCCAACATCAAACTCATGACATTCCTGAGTCACTGTGTCCTCCAAAGCCAATCAGTTCCCCACATTCACTTTTGCCTCCCTCGAGAGTGAGCTTCCAAAAATGCACATTCTCCAAGGATTTTCCCTTATACCACCTTTTACAAAAAGATTCAAAATCCCCGCTGAGCTTTCGTCCCAGGAGCCGCCCCTCATCTCTTCTGTCTGCTCCAGTCAGAACTACACCTTTCTCCTAGGTAGGTCCTCCAGGGCCTGAACAGGTGGGATTCACCCCACTTCAATACCTCCTGTTCCAAGGCTGACCCTGGGCTGTGTAAGCTGAGGCAAGTCACTTAACTTTTCTGTTCCCTCTCCCTCCAGGCTAAACAATGGGGATGATGGCATCTATGTTGTTATAAACACGCAATGAGATAACCTATGGGAAGCACTTGATAAGTGGCCCGGTATGTAGTAAATGCCCAACAAACACTAGCTGATATTATCCTCACTGTAAATTCAAAAGAGGAAGGCCCAGGACTGCAGGGCAAGGTCCTACTTCCATCTCCTTGTCCAGAACCCAGCACAGACCACGTGCTCAAGAAACTCATGTTGAATGAACTGCCACAAAGACTTCAAAACTACGTCTGCTCAAACCTCTAGATTTAAGCAATCTTTTGCTCCAAATGGGTGGGCTCCAGTCTGGGTCTGGATCTACTCTGGGAAATGACTTTGTGATGACAGCTTCAGAGTAAAGAATTGGGTTCACCAGTGTCTGGAAACAGATGGTCAGAAGCAAACACCTTCCCCTCAAGTGCCGCTTCTCCATGTCCAGCGTGTCTGGAAACATTCCACTGCCATCTACGAAATAAATCAAAAACCTCCAACTCTGATAACACCTGTGACAACAACATCAAAGGCCCAGAAAGCACTGACAAGTCAAGAGGGAAAAAAAAAACCTCTTTGATTTCTTTTTAAAACAAGGATGAATTCTTTTCCCTGTAAAATGGGTGAAAAAACAGTGCTATAAATTCTCATAGTGAGTGCAGTTAAGATGTGCAAAGACAGTGATTTTACATTTGGGATGTTAAAGAGCTCACCTAATGAGGCCCTTCCTCCCTAGCCTGTGCAGCACCACGGAAAACCACTTCATTTCCAGTGGGTCAAGACCTCTGGAAGCACGAACCATGACTGACACGCTCTCATTTGAGCCCCGTGACCACCCTGAAGAGGCAGGGCGTTCATTTCACAAGGGAGAAAAATGAGGCTAGGCGGCTCGCCTGGGTCAGCTGGATAAGTGGGGCAGATTCCAGTTTGTCCTGTTTCTCTGAGCCACCTCCTCCCTCCAGCCACTCTTCCTCCTGCCCATCCCCTGCAGAGAAAGGGCAGCAGAATGGGAACAAATCACTTGGTTTAAACCCAGTTTTTGGCACACAGCCCAAGTACATAAAAAGAAGAGAGACTTTTTTTAAAAAAGTCACTCTCTACAGGTGCCCCTGGAACTTACCATTCCAGGGAGGAAAAGCGGCAGAATGTCCAGTTTCATTGCACTGTCAAAGATAGCAACTTAGGCTGGGCACGGTGGCTCATGCCTGCAATCCCAGCACTTTGGGAGGCAGAGGCAGGCAGATCACTTGAGGCCAGGAGTTCGAGACCAGCGTGGCCAACATGGTGAAACCCCGTATCTACCAAAAATACACAAATGAGCTGGGCATGGTGGTGCAAACCTGTAATCCCAGCTACTCGGGTGGCTGAGGCATGAAAATCACTTGAACCCAGGAGGTGGAGGTTGCAGTGAGCTGAGATTGCACCACCACACTCCAGCCTGGGCAACACAGCGAGACCCTGTCTTAAAAAAACAAAAAAGATAGTAACTGAGGAAACAGCCCATTAGAGCACCTTTATTACAACCTGTAAAACCTGTACATGTACCCCTGAAACTGAAAGTTAAAAAAAAAAAAGAAAAAACTCTGAAAGACACATGGTTTTATACCCATCTCTTGAAAAAACAAACCCACCCTAGGCAACTGTAAAACAGAATGAGCTGAGGGAAAGATACATTCACAAGCTCCACTCCCAGACCCACCCACTTGAGATCTGTGCTGCCTAGAAGGTTCCAAGTAATCTGAAGAGGCTCAAATAATGGGGATAGGAAGTGAGCAATAGCAGGAGTAAGGTTCAACAGTCTTTTTAGGGCTGAGGTGCCATTACACGTAATCAAAGTGGCCCTATAGATACTTTAAATAATCTACTTCGTGACTTTTTTTTTTTTAAACTGGGTCTCACTTTACAGGCAAAGATGGGTGAGAAATGCAAAACAAAAGTTTTCATGCATTTTTCTTTTACTTTTTTTAAATTAAGAGATAGAATACAACTTCCTGTCCAGAGTGTGCTCTTTCTATGGCTTTTTGCTTTTAAAGGCGCTTTCCATATTAAAGATGAATGAAATGGTCACTATCTCTTTCCCCTTGGCTGAAGTACAAGGAACCTGAATTCCATTTGCACCACCTGCCCCCAACCCCCAACAAACAGAACATCACAGGTGGGCTGCATGAAACAGAACGTGTAAATGCAGTTTCAAAATGACTTGGTGAATCACAGGTCTGAAGCCAGAGGTTTTCAAGCTTGCTCGAAAAGGGGATTAATAAAGAAACACCGGGGGGGAGTCTAAAATATGTATTCACTTACACAACTTCAGACAATTTAAGTTCAAAGGCCGGCAGGCAGGCAGGCACCTTCCAGGCAAAAAGCTAAGGGAGACCAGGAAAGCGCAGGTTTTAGCAATTCCTCCTTTGGAGATTCAAAACTGGGGCCGCGGGCTGGGGTGTTGGCGGGGAGTGGGGGTGGTAAGGGGCTTGGCCAGTACCCTTCGTTCAAATGCAAATCCTTAGACTGTACGTACCTTCTCGGTCACCAGGATCACAGCGTGGGCCGTAAGGGCTGGAAGGCTGGTGGCCAGCGGCTAGGGGACTTTGCGGCGCGTCAAGCCCTTTATTATAAACCCAGAAGGTCGCTGTCACTCGCATTGGCCAGGAGGCCCACGGGCTCCGGGAACCAGCTGCTCAGCCGACAGACAACGCAAAGGCCCAGGGTGCCGGCGCTCCGAGCCAGCGTTCTGTGCCGGCTCCTCCCTGGGCGGCTGGTCCCCGGAGGAGGTGAATTCCGCGGGCACGCCCACGTCCCCATCGCGGCAGACAATGCGCAGGATCCCCTCCTGCCGGCTCTCTGGACCCTCAGCTGTCACCGCGGCCCGGGCCGGGGTGGGCAGGGGACCCGGCAGGACAGCTAAGCTCGCCCCTGCCGGGGACTCCGTGGAGCGGCTACTGGCCCCGTGCCCGCTCCCTCTGCCTCCACTTCCCCGGAATCCCAGCGTTGCCCCGGTCCGGGAACGCCCGGCATTGTCGCCTAGGGCTACTCTTCTAGATGTCGTATTTCAAAGACTTCCCTCCGCGAAAACAGCTTGAGACCGTCCCTGGCTCTCCGAAAACATCCAAACCAGCCCCGACTTACCCCCCAAAAAAAGAAAAGGAAGGAGGAAAGGAGCCGAGCTCCGAGTGCGCAGGGCCCCGCGCCCGGCTCCCTGCGGCAGCCGCAGGTGCTGAGCGGCTGCGGCGCCCGAGCGCCGATGGCCCCGCAGGTGCGGGCGGTGGGGCTGGGGGTCCCCGCCTCCCGGCCCGGCCCCGGCCCCGCGCCTCACCTGCGCCGCCGAGGCCCGCGCACCGCAGCCGGGCCCGGCCGCCGCGGGCGCTTCCTGCTCGCGACTTCCTGGAGCGGCGCGCGGGAGGCCCCGCCGCCCTTTCACTTTCCCTGGCTCGCGGGGCGCCGGCGGGGCCGCGCGGCTCCTCCCCCTCTCCGGCCGCCGCGACCCCCGGCTCCGGCCCCGGCCCCGGCCCCGGCGTGCCCAGGGTCGCACCAGCCCCGGAGCCACCGGGCGGGGGCGCCCCCACGCCTCGCAGCGCTGCCCGGCCTCTGCAGGCGAACCCGGGTCATGACCCGCGCCTTCCCCGGCTCTGAGGGCGCACGGGCTTTCGCTGGCCCGCTCCCCACCGGCCTCCGGGCAGTCCCAGGCGGCCTCTGCACCGCTGGCGCTCCGTCCTGAAGGCGGGTCTTCCCCACAGCGGCGAGGGTCACATGCCGCCGCGCCCCCACCCCCAAAGAGGGCCTTTCCTTGGCCTCCCGGCTTTTATTCCTATTGTGTCATGTCAAGGGGCATAATCATGAAGACCAGCACTCTATAGCGTGGAAATGTGGCACGCGGATTTGGCTATGTCGAACCAACTTGTAAGCCAGCTTGTGTCCCACCTCTCAGGCACGTGACAGAGGCGGCTCCCTGTTAGGCTGGGGGAGCCCGCCGGGTTCTTACCCTTGCTGGCCAGTGCCCTGGCACACAGGCTCTACGTCACCCCAGAAACAACTCTTCTCCCTAGGCAGCCCCAGGGAGGCGCCTGGCCAGTCCCCTAGAAGCTACTGCCGAACACCCACAGTGGACCCCCGGCATGGCTTCAGAGCAGAGGGGGCTCCCAGCCCACTCCTGGGGAAGAGCAAAGTGAGGCAGAGGGGAAATTTTCCGGGAAAAAGCCTGCCCCTGGATAAAACAATGCTTAAGGATAAAACCAACCCCAGGCCTGGCCGTAAATGTCCCAACAGGCCAGTGCCCCTTGGACCTCCCCCAGGCCCGTTGAGCTTCCCTCTGGAGAAAGGAGAAGGCATTCTTCCCTGTGTTCGGCTTCCCTGCCCTGCTAGGCCTCACAGTTTCCCCCTGGGGCCCTGCTTTGTTTCTAGAACACTCTGATATGTGTCTCTCTTGGCTGAGCTGGGCTGCGTGAAATCCGTGACTTTGTTAGGAATTTGAGAAGCCTTCTGCAGGCAGAAAGAAAACCTGCCCACCTCTCTGCCACCAGGGTTCAGCCACAGGAAGCCTGCAGGCCCCTCATTCCACAAGCCAGATGGCCACCTCTCTGCCACGCAGGGTTCAGCCACAGGAAGCCTGCGGCCCCTCATTCCACAAGCCAGATGGCCCAGGGCTCCAGCCTTCTCCTTTTGGCTAGGTTTTCTTCAGACCTTTCTCTCCGCTGGCCCCCTCTGCCAGTTCTTTCTCCTCTCTAGCTCTCCATTCCCGGTGATAGCCCAGTGTGGCTCCCATCCCTCTCTCCAATGGTCTCCGCAGCCCAGGCCCTTGCCACTGGTTCTGCTCAAGGCTACTCCTCTCTCACTGCACTTGTGCGACAGTGTTCTCACTTCCAAGTTCTATCTCCTGCAATCCACTCTTTAAGCTGCCTCAAATTGCCATCCTAAAGCAAAATCTGATCTTGACATTCCTGATTTTAAAACCTTTGGGACATCCCATCACCTACAGCTTTTACATTTGAAAGGCAGTAATATGAGCTCAGGATATATAGGACACCTCGGCCATCACATTGAGACAGCTTCTTCCCACCCTCCCCTCCCCCACCCAGCTTTACTGGCATATAACTAACAAATAAAAATTACATAATTTATAGTCTATGTGATGTTTTGATATATGAATACATTATAAAATTATTGTGACAGTCAAGCTAGTATATCCAATCACCTCACATTATTTTTGTTTTGGTGGTGAGAATATTTAAGATCTATTCTTCTTGCAAATTTCAAGTATACAATATATTATTACTAACTATACATTGGAGCTGTACATTAACTCTCTAGAACTTACTCATCTTTCCTAAGTGAAACTTTGTACTCTTTGGCCAGCAACTCCCCATTTCTCCCACCCTACTACCCCTGGTAACCACCATTATTATATGCTCTACTTCTCTGAGTTCAAGTTTTTCAGATTCCACAAATAAGTGAGGTCATGCATATTCTTCTTTTTTTGTTAGTTTTTTTGTTGGCTGGTTTGAGACAGGGACTTGTTCTGTTGCCCAGGTTGGGGGGCAGTGGCTGACTGCAGTGGCTCCCAGGCCCAAGTGATCCTCCCACCTCAGCCTCCTGAGTATCTGAGACTACAGGCCCATGCCACCATGCCCAGCTGATTTTTTAAATTTTGTAGAGATGGGGTCTTGATATGTTGCCAAGGCTGGTCTTGAACTCCCAGGCTCAAGAAATCTTCCTGCCTCAGCCTCCCAAAGTGCTGCCAGTAGAGACGTGATCTACCATGCCTGGCCTATATTTGTTTTTCTGTACCTGGCTTATTTCACTTAGCGTAATGTACTCCAGGTTCATCCATGTTGTTGCAAATGACACGAAATCCTTCTTTTTTAAGGCTAAATAGTATTCCATTGTGTACATATAGATATACACCACATTTTCTTTATAAACTTCCCTCTAGTACTGCTTTTGCTGCATCCCATAAGTGTTGGTATGTTGTTTCCATTTTCATTTGTCTCGAGGAATTTTCTGATTTCCCTTTTGATATCTTCTTTGACCCCACTGGTTGTTCAGGTGTGTATTTAATTTCTTCATATTTGTGGATTTTCCAATTTTCCTCCTGTTACTGATTTCTAGTTCATACTATTGTGGTCAGAAAAGATACTTGATATTTTAATCTTAAATTTGTTAAAACTTGTTTTGTGGCCTAACATATGATCTAGCCTAGAGAATGTTCTGTGTACATGTAAATATGCATTCAGCTGCTGGTGGAAGGAGTGTTCTATATGTCTGCTAGGTCCATTTGCTCTAGAGTGTTGTTCAGGTTCAGTGTTTCCTTATTCGTCTTCTGTCTGGGTCATCTATTCATTGTTGAAAATGGGGTACTGAAGTACCCTGCTATTACTGTATTGCTATTTCTCCCTTGAGTTATGTTAATAAATATTTAGGTACTCTGATGTTGGGTGCATATACATTTATAATTGTTATATCCTCTTGATGAATTTATCTCTTTCTCACTATATAGTGACTCTTATGAAGTTGTTGACTTAAAGTCTGTTTTGTCTGATATAAGTATCTTTTTTGCTCTTTATTTGGTTACCATTTGCATGGAATATCTTTTCCCATGCCTTTACTTTCAGCCTATGTATATCCTTAAAGCTAAGATGAGTCTCCTGCAGGCAGCACATAGATTTTTTTTAATATCCATTCAGACACTTCTGTCTTTTGATTGCAGAATTTAATTCATTTACATTAAAGTAATTATTGATAGATAAAGACTTACTACTGCCATTTAAAAAATTGCTTTCTGGCTGTTTGTAGTTCCTTTATTGTTTTCTTACTCCCTTACTATCTTCCTTTCTGATCTGATGATTTTTGTAATGGTATGCTTTCATTCCTTTCTCTTTACATTTTGTAACTCTACTACAGGTTTTTGTTTTGTGGTCACTATGATGCTTATATAAAACATTTTAGGCCAGGTGCTGTGGCTCTTGCCTGTAATCTCAGCACTTTGGGAGGCTGAAGTGGGCAGATCATGTGGTCAGAAAATCGAGACCATCCTGGCCAACGTGGTGAAATCTCATCTCTACTAAAATACAAAAAATTAGCTGGGCGTGGTGGCATGTGCCTGTAGTCCCAGCTACTTGGGAGGCTGAGGCAGGGGAATTGCTTGAACCCAGGAGGCAGAGGTTGCAGTGAGCTGAGATTACACCACTGCACTCCAGTAATAAAACGTTAGCTGCCTACAGAAATCCTACACTTCAATTTCTCCCCACCTCAACATATTTTATGTTACTGATATCACAATTTACATGTTTTATGTATTGTGTATCCACTTACAAATTATTGTAGCTACAATTATTTTTAATACCTTTGTCTTTTAACTTTTATACTAGAGTTAAAAGTGATTTACACACCACCACTGTAGTATTATTCTGAATTTGACTACATTTTTACTTTTACAGCGAGTTTTCTACTTTTATATGTTTTCATAATGTTAGCGTCCTTTCATTTCAACTGGAATAACTCCTTCTAGCAGATCTTGTAAGGTGGCCTAGTGGTGATGAACTGCCAGAGCTTTTGTCTGGGAAGGTCTTTCTCTCTCCATTTCTATAGGAGAGCCTTGCCTGGTATAATATTCTCGGTTGGTTGTTTTCGTTCCACACTCTGAATATATCATCCCACTCCCTCCTGGCCTTCAAGGGCTATGCGGAGAAACCTATTGACAGTCTTATGGGTTTTCTATGTGTGACAAGTTGCTTTTCTCCTGCTGCTTTCAAAATTGCTTCTTTAAGT